CCTCCTCCTCCTCCTCCTCCTCCTCCTCCTCCTCCGACCACGCACTCGGCGTGGAGCCCCGTGCCCTGCACCACGGCGTTCAGGTGGCCCTGCACCTCTGAGGGCGGCGCGGCGCTGCGGGGGGCACCCGGAGAGCCCCCTCGGGGCGCGACAGAACTCTGACGCGGGAGGTGCTCCGTTTTGCCTTCGGCCTCCACGGGCCCGAGCCTCCGCTACGCGCAAGAGCGCTCCTGGGGGGCCAGAGCGTCGGGTCGGGCGAAAAGGGGGGGTTTGAGAAGCAGCTCACGTGGCTGATTTTCCCGGCGCCTCCTGGCGCCGGAGGCGGCTATGTATCGAGGAATGGGCCCCTCGGTGGGGCCGAAACCAGCTGCATGCAGCAAATTTCGTACCCCCCCCTTTCCCAATCCCCCCCTTTCGTCCGGCCCGAGAGTGACTTTTGGTGTGCGGACTACGGGGGCGCAAGGTGGCCACACCCAAGCGAGCAGTGCGCCGCCATCGCAGCGCGCTCCGCGATCGGGGGGACCCCCGCGAGCACGCACCAAATGCCACTCCGGCGAAGGGCCACTCTGACGTGTAATCGGCTACCTGGCCTCAGGACCACCAAATAGAGGCCTCCTAGATGGGGTCCGAGTAGATGGGGTCGGAGGGTCGCGCCGCATCGGCGATGCATCGGCGATACACCACCGATGCATCGGCGATGTATCGGCGACGTCGGCAGGGCATCGGTGCCATCGACGTGGAGAAAATCAGGCCCCACATCGAGCCGCATCGCCGATGCATCGGCGATGCGGCGCGATTCTCCAACCCCCTCTACTCCGACCCCATCGAATTAAGAGAACTAGATCAACAAAAAAACGACTTGGGATGCGAAACCCGTCCTGGGGAACGGGTCGAGAACTCCTGGGGGTCGACGCCACGAAAAGCCATGGCGTCGGGGGCCCGGGCAGGGGGCTGCCAAGCGGCATGCTGGCCGATCGCATGGTAGGGCCGAGCGCGCCGCTCGGACGTCCATTCCCTGTGTTTTTGTTCGGTCTCGTGCGTGGTTTTTTTCGCCAAATGATCAAGGATGCTCCTCGATGGTCCTCGCCGAAGGAACAATGCACACGTCCGAGCGATGCCAGGGGGCCGAGCGCGCCGAATGGGGCCGGCGCTGCGGCACGCGGAGAGCAGAGGCTCCTGACCGCTGGCCGCTCAGGGGGGGGCGCTCCAGAGAGGGGGGCCTCGCCATCGTCGGCTGCGCGCACGAATTGTCGTTTGCCCCCCCCTCTCACCTCTCCCCCAAGACCCCCTCGGGTAATGAAAAAATCATGACGGGAGGTTTTACCTAATTTCAGGCCTTTGGAGGCCCTAACCGGCCCTCGGGACCGTCAAAAAACGACTCAGGATGAAAAACCGGTCCCGGGGAATGGGTCGAGATCTCTGGGGGTCGACGTCATGAAAAAATCATGACGTCGGGGGTCTGGGCCAAAGCTTCGCTGGTCACCTCTGAGGCGTTGGCCCCCGCGCTGCCCCCGGGGGCACGACCGCGTCGCACGGGCTCGGAGCACCACCAGCGGAGCGCCCGGCCAACACGGCACGGAGCAGAGCGACCCCGGGGCAGGAGTGACCCTGGGCAAGTGAAGGTTTTCTTATTCGGCGGCTCGACCTTGAACGAAAGGCGGGGGAGGGGGAGGGGGTCTGGCTCTGGACCTCTGCTTAACGCGACTGCTTACAACAGTGCGTCCTATCGGGGAGACTCCACCTGTTGGACACAGGCGCCAAAAGCAGCCAAGATCCACTACATGACAGGGTGGGGGGAGGGGGGGGTACAAGGACCCGCGCCGATCGATCGACAAAACAATGCATCAGAACACGATCGCCAAAAGTGACCTTCAGTGCGCGGCTGTTTCGGGGAGTGCGGGGGGGGGGAGGGGGCGAAACCCAAGCGCACCAGACCCAGACCCCCGGCGTCATGATTCGTTCAAGACGTCGACCCCCAGAGATCTCGACCCATTCCCCGGGACCGGCTTGTCATCCTGAATCGTTCCTTCACAATCCCGAGGGCCGGTGAGGCCCCCGAGAAACTGAAAATAACGAAAACCTCCCGCCGTGATTTTTTCACTGCTCGAAAACCTCCCGTCGAAGACGAGAACCTCCCGTCGAAACCTCCCGTCGAGAACGAAAACCTTCATTAACTGCTCGAAACAAAAACGAAAACCTCCCGTCGAAAACGGGACGCTGCTGTCGCATCGTTTTTCCGCCCTCCGGGGGCCTCGGCGCGCCCGCACCACGGGCCCCTTCCAGCGAAGGGTCACCCCGTATACTACGCGCATGCAGTCGACAGCAGGGCCTCGCCTCCGGCGAGACCTCGCCTCGAAGATCTGGCCCTCGACGCCGGCGGGGCAAAGAGAGAGAGAGAGAGAGAGAGAGAACAAAAAAAAAGGGCCCGAGGACACACAGGGAAATCACGCAAATCCCAGGATTCCTCCTAGTTTCCCACGGCTTCCGCCTCCACGTCCCCCATATGTTCCCATCTTTTCCTGGGGGTCGACGGTTAAGTGTGTCTGCGCTTTATTTCCTTATCCTCCTCCTCCTCCTCCTCCCTTTCCTCCTCCTCCTCCTCCTCCTCCTCCTCCTCCTCCGAGAGGGAGAGAGAGAGAGAGAGAGAAAGAAAGAGAGAGAGAGGGCCAGAGACACAGAGAGCGCGGCGGCGGGCCCAGCGGCAGAGGGAGTCGGCGGAAGGCGGCGGAGGCAAGATCGGGTCGCCGACATGCTGGGCGCGGAGTCATGGGGAACCCCCAAGCCGGGTGGTGAGATACCGGGTGGCGAACTGGAATCCCCCAAAAAGGTCACCGCTGGGTTTGGGGGCGCGGGGTCACCACCGGGTTTCTGTGACTCCTGGACCCACCAGTGTTCGGGGCATCCCCGGAAAACCGCACGAGTCCCCAAACCGGGTGGTGACACCAAATCGCCGGAGGCTCACCGCCAGGTGTTGTCACCACCACGTTTGGGGACTACCAAGAAGTAGTTGGGGGCACTGAACGCCGGGGGGGGGGGGGGAGAACAGTGCCTTCTTTTCGAGCCCTAAAGGCCCCCTCCTGAGCCCGAAAGGGCCCCTTTGAGGGGACCCAAAGGGCACCTTTCTGCAGCCCTCGCTGCCCCCCCCCCAGTTGATCGCCCCCCCCTGCGCGTGCTCCGAGACATGGAGCCCTAAAGGCCCCCTCCTGAGCCCGAAAGGGCCCCTTTGAGGGGACCCAAAGGGCACCTTTCTGCAGCCCTCGCTGCCCCCCCCCCAGTTGATCGCCCCCCCCTGCGCGTGCTCCGAACATGTCTGGGTCTAGGACTGCCGGAGTCGGTCAGACGCAGGTCGCCCAGGGCCCTCTCGGAACTGGGGCGTTGCAAGCCAGGGCTCCAAAAGTTCAGGCCCGAGAGGACGGAGAGTGAAGAATGGTGCGACCCACGGCCGCGACAAATCCGATGCGCGGATTTATCCATGACCACCGCATGGGGGAAGGTCTTCTAGGGCCTCGGCAAGCGGTGGATGTGTATCTGTTCGCGCCCGCGGGGGCAAACCTAGACATGCGATATCATGACTTTTTCTGAGCGGGATACCCAGAAACCCCGACCCGTTCCACGGGAAAGGATGTTCAGCCTGAGTCGCTTCCTGACGGCCCCGAGGCCTGGTAGGGGCCCTGTGAGGCCGAAGACGACGGAAAACCGCCGTCCTGATTGTTTCGAGACTTTGCGCGTCGGGGGATCTACTCGGGCTCCCTGGGGGGGGCGAACCCACACACACACAGGGACTCTTACATATATAAGTGTGTATACATAACTACACACAACATCTGTATATATACACACAAAGATATACACATGTATACAAGCATGAATACGTGCAAACATGAACACATGCATGCATCCATACAGACATACATGCATATACATACATACATACATGAATCCAAACACACACGAATGCATAACTACATACACACATACATACATACATATATACATACATACATACATGAATGCATACATACATACATACATACATACATACATGCATGCATACATACATACATACATACATACATACATACACACATACATACATACACCATACATGCATACACACATACATACATACATACATACATACATACATACATACATGCATGCATACATACATACATACATACATACAGCAATACATACATACATACATACATACATACATACATACATACATACATACATACATACATAGGTACACACATAATCAGCCCCGCGACTCTGGGGGCCCATCCGGAAGGAAGAACTTCTGGGGGGCGCGCCCCGAAACCCAGGGGGTCCGGCTTCCGCGGAGGAAATAATATCCCTGTCGAGGGGTTCGAGCACGGGGGCTACCCCCGCCTCAAATTCCGGAAGAGGAATGACTTCTCAGCCGCGGGGGGGCCCGCGCGAGGGGTCCCACCCCCCCCCCCCAGCGCAACCAGAGGAGGAAAAGCGTGAGAGCCCAGATTGTAGGTGCAATGCAGCAACATTCTAATAGTGGTTGCACTAGGGAGTTGTGCTAGTAATAAGGAGTTTGACTAGGGAGTCCTACTGGGAGTTGTACTAGGGAGTTGGACTAATACTAGGGAATTGCAAAAGGAATTGCACGAATGGAATTGCACTAGGGAGTTGCACTACGGAGTTGTACTATAAATTGTGTTATTACTGGGGAGTTGTACCTGGGAGTTGTACTAGGGACTTGTGCTAGCGAGCTGTACTAGCACTCGAGAATTGCATCAACAAGTTGTACTGGCACTATTTGTGCTGGAGAATTATACCAGGGAGTTGTACTAGGGAGTTGTAGCAGGGAGTTGTACTAGTACTCAGGATTTGTACTAGGGAGTTGTACTAGGGCGCACAGTTCCACCAATTGTAATATGATACCAGTTGCACTCTGACACTTGCACGGCAGGACAATGTGCTCTCTGGGAGCAACTACGCGCTAGTACATGGCAGTGCCAGTCGTACTCAAGTACTAGTTGTACGATAGCCGGAATGGTGCAGGGGTTCCAATGGCAACTCGCGCGCGGAAGAAGAAAACAAATCCATGCGACGCCAGGGGTCCCGGGATTAACGGGTCACCGCGAAGGTTGACCCCCCGCGGAAAGAAGCAAAGAAATCCGGCCAGGGGGTTGGGGGTTTCAGGCATGAATCGCGAGACTGATCACACATACACACATACTTATGTGCATACACATGCGCACATACATACATGCCTATTCACATACATGCACACATACATAATGCATGCATGCACAGCCATACCTGCCTACCTAGCTACCTACCTACATATCTACCTGTATACGTACACGCATACATACATGCATGAATACATACATACTTACACACATACATGTACACATACATACATGCGTACGTATATGCATACCTATACAAATACGTACGCGCAATCACCAACATATATACATCCGTATGCATACATACATGCACGCATCCAAACATACGTACATACATGAAAACATACACGCATGCGTGCATGCATGCTTCCATACAAGCGCACATGCATATACACATGCATGCACGCATGCATACGTACACACATACATACATACATACACACATGCATGCATGCATGCACACATACACACATACATACATATGTACATACACACATACATACATACATACATACATACATACATACATACACATACATACATACACACAGGCATACATACATACATACATACATTGACATATTCATACATACATGCACACATACAAACATACATGTATACATACACACATACATACATGCTTGCATGCATACGCTGATACAAACACATATGCAGATACTCACACATACAGACTTGCCAATCTATCGAGCTACCTACATACCTACTTACATACACATACATACACACGTACATGCATACATACATACATACATACATACATACATGCAAGCACACACATATGTGTATACTCATAAACACATGTACATACATACACATACATACGTACATACGTCCGTGCACTCATATAGCAATACATACGTACAGGCATACATCCATATCAACATATATATATATACATATATATAGAAATGTGTACACAAAAATCTGTATCACACGCCCCGGACAGCGAATCCGAATGGTGCTGAGCGGGGTGGGCTATCGGGCCCCTGTCGGCGATCAGGGGACGACTGGGGGCGGATGCGTCCCCCCCTCCTCTCCCCCCTGACCGTGCCCCTGCCTCGAGCCTCGAGCCCCCAGCCTCGAGCCCCGCAGCCCCGCCGGCGCGCCAGCGAAGGGGGTGCGGCGGCGACGACGACGCCGACGGCGGCGACTGCGCCGACGCCGACGGCGACGACGCCGACAGCGACGACGCCGACGTCGCCGACGCCCGCGACGCCGACCTCGGCGGCGGCGGCGACGCCAGCGCCAACGTCGCAGGCGGCAGCGGCGGCGACGACGGCGAAGGCGCCGGCGGCGAAGGCGCCGGCGGCGGCGAGGCGCGGCGCCTGCACCGCCAGCTCGCGCGTGGGCAGCACCGCCAGCGCCCTCAGGCCGAGCGCCGCCGTGCCCGCGGGCGCCGCGGGCGCGCCGGGCGCCGCGGTGCCTCTCTGCCGCGGGCAGGGTGGGCCGCGGCGCTCTCTTCTTTCGTGGCATCCTCGGCGGGCCCTGAGATCCTTCGGGGAACAAGAAGTGGCATGAACATACAAACTCGGAGGTCCGCGCGGATTTCTCGGATCGGCGCTGGGGCGCCCCGGCGGCGCCTCCGGCGCCACCCCCGGCGCGCTCCGCGCGCCAGGGAGGGGGGTCCAGCGCCGATCCGAGAAATCCGCGCGGACCTCCGATGTTTTATGTTTATGTCTTCTTTTGTTCCGCTAATCCTGGCGCTGCATTATTTTTGTCCCACCAGGCGTTTTCCCTCCATGTCGGGCCCCAGGACCCTCGCTGATCGATGCGTCTCGAAAAATGACGCAGAGAGATTGGGTCATGGGGCTCTGGTCGTGATTTTTGAGAAATGGCAATGTTTCTGCAACGTCAGGTCTCAAAGGACCTTGTCTGCCCCCTCGCGGCCCTGTCCACGTCGAATCCCATGCCTGCCTCGTCGGATGCGTGTCGAATCCGCGTCGACTCCGCGTCGAAGGCACGCCAGGCCGCGTCGAGTCCGGAGCGAGACCGCGTCGGGCACCAGGAAAGACACACACTTGGGGGACAGGAGAGGTCTCCCGAGGATGCCATGTAACTCTTCGGGAGGCGCCCTTCCTCGTTGCCAAACGGAGCCGTGCGCATGTATGTATGTATGTATGTATGTATATATATATATAGATGTACACATATGTGTGTGCATATATATATATATATATAGTATGGTGGATTATCGCCCCGTACTATATATATATATATAGTACAGGGCTTCGCTGAGGCGCTTCGGGACAACGTATGGTGGATTATCGCCTGGCCGGTTTTCTGGGCGACAGATGTTGAATCATATACATACTCACGTCGTTCATGTCTCATCGTGCTCATTTCTAAGTGTTCTCGTTTCTAAGTGTTCCTGGCCCCCTAGTGCCCGGGAAGAGGCCCAGGATAGAACAATTAGAAATGAAACAACCTTGCCCCCCCCCACAAACAAATCAAACTACTTTCGAAGACTTGCAAACGAACCATGTGTATATATATATATGTATACACACACGCTATGTTTGGGCCCTCCGTTTGCAACCACTCGGTGGACAGCCATAACATAGTATAGTGGACATGCTCTAGGCCCCAACCGATCTTTGAGGAAACCCTGGGGACCTCGCTCGGAAACTCGAGATCCGATTCACGTCGGAGCCACGTCGGATTTTCGCCAGGCTTGCGTCGGATTCACGCCGCTGCACGTCGGATGCACGTCGGGCTTACAGTAAAAACTCGGCCACATGAAACCTTCCGCAAGAAACCAAACCCGGAGGCCCCAGGACGTCCATTTTTCCTGGTGTGGGAAAATCGCGCTGTCCATAACAATTATCCCGGCAAAGCAACCTAACAGCGATGTGTAGGAGCATATCTGGAAGCATTCCCCTTAAGAGTCAGATGAGAATCCGGTTGTAGAATTCTGCTGTTCTCGCAGTCGTAGCCGCATTCGCGCCGACAGTCGCAGTGGCAACGGCAGTAGCAGTCACAGCCTCAGCCTCAGACTGCCTCAGCCTCAGCCTCAGCCTGCCTCAGCCTCAGTCTCAGCCTCAGCCTCAGCCTGCTTCAGCCTCAGCATCAGTCTGCCTTCAGCCTCGGCCTCAGCCTGCCTCAGCCTCACCCTGCATCAGCCTCAGCCTCAGCCTCAGCATCTGCCTTAAGCCTCGGCCTCAGCCTGCCTCAGCCTCACCCTGCATCAGCCTCAGCCTCAGCCTCAGCCTGCCTCAGCATCAGCCTGCCTCAGCCTCAGCCTCAGCCTGCCTCAGCCTCAGCCTCAGCCTGCTTCAGCCTCAGCCTCAGTCTGCCTTCAGCCTCGGCTCAGCCTCAGCCTGCTCAGCCTCAGCCTGCCTCAGCCTCAGCCTCAGCCTCAGCCTGCCTCAGCATCAGCCTGCCTCAGCCTGCCTCAGCCTGCCTCAGCCTGCCTCTGCCTCAGCCTCAGCCTCCTTCAGCCTCAGCCTCAGTCTGCCTTCAGCCTCGGCCTCAGCCTCAGCCTGCCTCAGCCTCAGCCTGCATCAGCCTCAGCCTCAGCCTCAGCCTGCCTCAGCCTCAGCCTGCCTCAGCCTCAGCCTCAGCCTGCCTTCAGCATCAGCCTCAGCCTGCATCAGCCTCAGCCTCTGCCTTCAGCCGGCCTCAGCCTCAGCCTGCCTCAGCCTCAGCCTTCAGCTCAGCCTCAGCCTGCCTCAGCATCAGCCTCCCTCAGCCTCAGCCTCAGCCTGCCTCTGCCTCAGCTCAGCCGCTCAGCCTCAGCCTCAGCTCAGCCTCAGCCTCAGCCTCAGCCTGCTCAGCCAGCCTCAGCCTCGCCTCGGCCCAGCCTCAGCCTCAGCCTGCCTCAGCCTCAGCCTCAGCCTGCTTCAGCCTCAGCCTCAGCCTCAGCCTCAGCCTCAGCTGCCTCAGCCTCAGCCTGCATCAGCCTCAGCCTCAGCCTCAGCCTGCCTCAGCATCAGCCTGCCTCAGCCTCAGCCTCAGCCTGCCTCAGCCTCAGCCTCAGCCTGCTTCAGCCTCAGCCTCAGTCTGCCTTCAGCCTCTCGGCCTCAGCCTCAGCCTCAGCCTGCATCCTCAGCCTCAGCCTCAGCCTGCCTCAGCCTCAGCCTGCCTCAGCCTCAGCCTGCAGCCTCAGCCTCAGCCTCAGCCTCAGCCTCCTCAGCCTCAGCCTCAGCCTCAGCCTCAGCCTGCCTCAGCCTCAGCCTCAGCCTGCTTCAGCCTCAGCCTCAGTCTGCCTTCAGCCTCGGCCTCAGCCTCAGCCTGCCTCAGCCTCAGCCTGCATCAGCCTCAGCCTCAGCTCAGCCTGCCTCAGCATCAGCCTGCCTCAGCCTCAGCCTCAGCCTGCCTCAGCCTCAGCCTCAGCCTGCTTCAGCCTCAGCCTCAGTCTGCCTTCAGCCTCGGCCTCAGCCTCAGCCTGCCTCAGCCTCAGCATCAGCCTGCCTCAGCATTCAAAATGTGGCCCGGGAATGGAGTTCTGGGAACTCGAAGAACACGAAGTGGCCTACAGTTGGCTCCAGGCATTCAAAATCATGCCCAGGAATAGAGTTCTGGGAACTCGAAGACCACGAAGTGGCCTACAGTTGGCTCCGGGCATTCACTACAGTTGGCTCTGGGCGTTCAAAATCTGGCCCGGGAATGGAGTTCTGGGAACTCGAAGAGCACGAAGTGGCCTACAGTTGGCTCTGGGCATTCAGAATGTGGCCCGGGAATGGAGTTCTGGGACCTCGAAGACCACGAAATGTGTGTAACTGTTGGCTAAAACAACAATCCCCGGCATCCTCCCGGATCGCGCCTAAACCCCCCTGGGGCGTCATGATGCTCTCTTCTGACCCTACTAGAAACCTATCAGTCTTCGCTGTTAAGTAAAAACGTCGAAATCCAGGAAACCCAAGGCACCCTGGAGGCAAGCAAGGTGTTTCTTGGCATGGGTTCCCACTGCACGTCAGAACATCGCCGCGCGAACGCGGACCCATATGTTACGAAGCGGACGTGTGGACTGGATGATACAACTACTGCAGGCATCCCGACGCCTCTGGTAGGCCAAAGGCTTGACGCAGCTGCAAAGGGCACACCAAGTGAGCAACGATCAGAAACGGGTCTGACGCGAGATGACGTAGCGACCTTACGCCGCTGCTTTCGCGGGCCGCCAGCGCGGGACGAAATCGCTTACGCGCGACCTCACGTGGGCAGCTTACGCGCCAATGTCCTCGCAATTGAACCCGTTTTCGTCCGTCGCTCAAGTCAGAAAGCGGCCTGCCAGCATCGGGCGCACGCTGACGCGGATCAGGGGACCCTGGACCTGGCGCGAGGGTGCCAGATGCACGGAGCGGAGAAGGTATCCCCCGGAACATCGAGCCCGCCTATGTTGCCTGGAGCGGGACCCGTGGCCAATCCACGCGCCTCGATCCCTGCGTGCGCCTCCTCGACGGCAGGTGCCCCGCGGAGATGTTTCTACATCTCCCGGTGGCCCCGGGGACCCACAAGAGCCCAAGGGGCACCTCAGCAAGCGACTGGCCTTCTGTGCGGCTCATTGGTCTTTTGTGCTGCCCGTTGGGCTCTTGTGCGGCCCGGCGCGCGGCCGGGTGGGTCTTACTGCGGCCCGCGCTGACCCTTCAATTCAAAGTAATATGTAAGGGTATCCTTTCTTAGCTCTGGGGATCCTGGCAACCCTTCAAGGCGTGCGCTCCCGCCCAGGAAAAAGTGGCCGCACAAAGGACCATCTGGAGGCGCGGTGGAAGCAATCTAGTAATAGTTGTGCCAATCTTCACTGTGGCATTCAAAGAAGCAACTTCTGAAGCAACATAATAAACCCAGGTGCGTATCCGAGGATGTGTGCAGCACTAGAAACATGGTTCGAGCAACGGGCTCGAAACAATCGTCCTCCTGAGCATCACGATCATCATCATTTTCATCCTCATCCTCCCTGTCATGATCACCCTCCCCTCGTCTTGCACTTGTCAACATCATATGTGTAATCCCCCTTCATCCCTCTTCCTTGTCATCATCACCCTGGTCCCCATGTTTCTTGTCCTTGCGCCTCACTTCTACCATTTTCCCGCTCCTCCTCCTCCTCCTCCGTGTTCACTGTTCCTCCTGTCCCTCCGCACCATCATCGTGAGCATCACCATCATCATCATCATCATCATCATCATCATCATCATCATCATCATCATCATCATCATTATCATCAACATCACCATCATCATCATCATCATCATCATCATCATCATCGTCATCGTCATCATCAGCATCAGCATCATCATCATCATCATCATCATCATCATCAGCATTTCCATCATCATCATCACCATCATCATCGTCATCGCCCTCGTCATCGTCATCGTCATCGTCGTTATCGTCATCGACATCGTCGTCGTCCTCCTAATCGTCATGTTCAGTTTCAGCCCCAGCATCGGCACCATCGGTATCATCAGCAACAACTTCATCATTATCAGCAGCAGAATCGGCATTAGCAACAACATCAGGCTCGTCCTTATCCGATGGATCCTGCTCCTCATCCTTCTCATCCGCCTCCGTCTGCATAAGTACTGCTGCTGCGGATGGGGCGGCCGATTTGCAAATCGCGTGGCCGCTCGAGGAGGAGTAGGGGGAGGAGGAGGAGGAGGAGAAGGAGGAGGAGGAGGATGAGGAGGAGGAGGGGGAGGAAAACGAGGAGGAGGAGGAGGAGCAGCAGCAGCAGCAGCAGTAGGGAGAGGGAAAGGGAGGAGGAAAGTGGAAGAAGGAGGGGGGAGGTGAGAGGGAGAATGGGGGCCCCACGAGGCTCTTCAAGAGGCCCCAGGAAGCTCTTCAGAGGGACCCAAGAGGCTCTGCAGAGGTACCCAATAAGCCATTCAGGGGGGCCCACGGGCTCTTCTGGAGGGCAAGACGCTCTTGAGGGGCCCAAGACGCTCTACAGAGGCCCCCCCCAGAAGCTGTTCGGGGGGCCAAACAGGCTCTTCACATGCCCCAGGGTTTATCAGAGGGTCCACCATCGATGCGCAGGATGCGGGTCCCCCCCGCACCTGTGGACGTGTCCCCATCCTCCTCCTCCTCCTCCTCCTCCTCCTCCTCCTCCTGCTGCTGCTGCTGCTGCTGCTCCTCCTCCTCAGGGGGGTCTGGGGAGGTCGCTGCCCTCCTGGGGTGCGTTCTGACCTGGACTCCGGGGCGGATCCAGCGGTGGCGACGACGGCCTCCCGCCCCCCAAAAGGGGAAACAGGAGCGAAGGGTAGCGGTATGGGTACCTTTTCTTTCCCCCCGACCCGTGGCATCCTCTATTGACCCGAGGAGGAGGAGGAGGAGGAGGAGGAGGAGGAGGAGGAGGAGGAGGAGGAGGAGGAGGAGGAGGAGGGAGGAAAAGGAGGAGGAGGAGGAGGAGGAGGAGGAGGAGGAGGATGGAGGAGGAGGGAGTAGGGAGGATGGAGGAGGGAAAATGATGAGGAGGAGGGGAAGGAGGAGGAGGAGGAGGAGGAGGAGGAGGAGGAGGAGGAGGAGGAGGTGGAGGAGGAGGAGGAGGAGGAGGAGGAGGAAGAGGAGGATGAGAGAGGCAAATATTGGCCCGGGAGGCCCAGGCCGGCCCAGGCGGCGAAAACCCCGAGGAGCGCCGCCTGCGATCCCTGGGCCGTTCCCCGCCGTCTCGCTACGGCCTGGGCCTCCCCGGGAGGGCCCGCGCAGATCGGAGGAGGAAAAGGCACCCATACCTCCACCCTTTGCTCTCTTCTATACCTCTACCTCTACCCATACCTCTACCCATACCTCTACCCATAAGGACAAGGTTCCTCATGTTGCCCTCTCTGGGCCTCCTGGGGGGCCCTCGTCGCCACCGCCGGACTCGCCTCGAGATCACGCTCAGAACGCACCCCAGGAGAGGTCCCGGGTGCAGCGGTATCGGTATTTCTTGGTTTCCCCAGAAGAGGGGGTCACGCGAGTGAAGGACAGCGGCATGGGCACCTGTTCCTCCTCCGATCGGGGGGGGGGGCCTGGAAGGAGAAGAGGCGCCATGACATCGGGGGACAAACGCATGGCCCCTGCCAAGATCTCCCCCCTAGTGATCGCCACCCTTCTTGGCCGCTCAACGGGCTGAGCGAAGGGCCACTCCTGCGCGCACGGCCGAGGCGCGGGCGCCGAAGGGCCGGCGACGCGCAGGAGTGGCCCGGGGCAAGAGTAATCGCTGGTGCGCGGCTTCACGGGGGACGCGGGATGGCCAAACCCAGGCGCGCAAGCCGCTGCCACCGCTTCGCGCGCGGCGATCGGGGGACCCGCGTTGGGCCAGCTCCCCAGACCCCCGACGTCGTGATTTTTCATTACGTCGACCCCCAGAAGTCCCGACCCCTTCCCCACGACCGGCGTTGCATCCCGAGTCGTCTTTTGACGCTCCCGAGGCCCGCTGAGGGCCCCCGGAGGCCGACGTGATCTTTTCTTCATTCCTCCAGGGGGTCTGGGTCCGGAGGTCCCTCCAGCGAAGCGCCGATCTGACGTCTGGTCGACCGGGGCCCCTCGGCCTGCGGAGCACGACCCGGCCGAGGGCAGCGCGTCCAGGGCGGCCAGCGTGTGGTGCCACACGGGGAGCCCAAAGGCCAGGGTCTTGCCGCTCCCCGTCTCCGCGGCGCCGCAGATGTCCTGCTCGCGTGCGCGCGGGCAGAAGCCGGGCCTCCTCCTCCTCCTCCTCCTCCTCCTCCTCCTCCTCCTCCTCCTCCTCCTCCTCCTCCTCCCCCTCCTCGGCACGGCGGCCTACACTGCTCCTCCTCGTCCTGCTCCTCCTACTCGTGCTCCTGCTCCTGAGCATGATCCTGATCCGCCACCTCCACCTCCTCCTGCTCCTTCTCCTCCTCCTCCTCCTCCTCCTCCCCCTCGTCCTCCTTTTTTTCCTCCTTCGCCTCCGTCCCCAGCCCCCCTCGGCCATGATCGAATCACGGCGGAAAATGTTCGGCAATCTTTCGCCCCCAGTGGCCCTTCCAGGGCCTCGGGACCGTCAAACAGCGACTCAGGATTAAAAGCTGGACCGCGGAAACGGGTCGAGAACTGAAGGGGTCGACGTTATCGGGGATCCAGGTCCCCCCCCTCCTCCTCCGTCCTCCCTCCTCCGCTCCTCCTCCTCCTCCTCCTCCTCCTCCTCCTCCTCCTCCTCCCCCTCCTCCTCCTCCTCTTCCTCCTCCTCCTCCTCCTCCTCCTCCTCCTCAGACCTAGACCCTCCCAGACCCAGACCCTCTCGTGTCATGAAAGAATCATGACGGGAGGTGTTTTGCGATTCTCAGCCCCTTCGGGCCCTCGCCAGGCCTCGGGGCCGTCAAAAAACGACTCGGGGTGAGAAACCGATCCCGGGGAAGGGGTCGAGAACTCTGGGGTCGACATCATGAAAATATCATGACGTCGGGGGTCTGGGGACCGTCCATTATGTTGTATCTTCGGGGGATTTTGTCTGTCCCATGGCGCCCGCCATCCGCGCCGAACGCGCGTGGCACCTGCGCCGAATCCGTGCCGAATCCACGTCGAGCTCACGCCGGAGCCACGTCGAACCTACGTCGGAAAACATCGAAGAAAAGCTGCGGACAGGACCGGCCCTTCGAAGATGCAGAGCAACCTGCACAGACCCCCGAAGTCAAGAGTTGTTCAAAACGTCGACCCCCAAGGGGGGGGGTCTGGGCCTGTCGTTGCCCCTGACCCTCAGAAGAACAAACGACGGCACACACGTGAACCGCGAGAACCCCCGAAATCCGCGCGGAGCTCCAAGAGTTGAGGCGGATGGCGATTTGTCGTTTCTCTTCGGATCCCGGCACCCGCCGGCGTGAGCCGGTCAGCCCACGGCACCAGGAGGGGTCCCGAGAGCGCTCCCCCGGAGGGCAGCCGTTCGGCCCCGACCCCCTCGTGGACGGCCTTGGGTCCCGAGAGCGGCCCCCGAGAGCCGAGGTCGAAGAATCGAAAAATCAAACGCCCCGTGGAGCAGTTACATATATATATATATATATATATATTCATATATTCATATATTCATATATTCATATATATATATATACACATGTGTATATATATATATATATATACATACATAGAGAGAGAGAAAGAGAGAGAGAGAGAGAGAGAGCGAGATATATCACCGGAGATCTGGGAATCCCCCTCCGGTAGGGGAGTTCGCCATCGCTCGCACGTCCGTTCCCCGTGCGTGTCTCGGCTCCGCGCGCGTCTCTTTCGCACGAGGGTCGAGGATGCTCCTAGAAGGCGCGCGCCCAAAGAAAAAAAACGTCATGATTGTACAGCTACGGGGAGGGGCCAGCCACAAGAGGGGGTCGGGCGGAGAACTCCGACAGGAGCCCCGAGAAAGAGAGACGAACCATTAGTCAACACCAGTGGGCGACCTCGCCCGACTGTCTTGCAATCGCGATTCCGTCTCGAGAGACAGCCGTGCACCAATACGAGCCCGAGCTGGACCGCAACCTCCGTCACGGGGCACGCCAAAGACTAAAATTATCGTGATAACCGCTATGGAAAGGGCAGGGGGGGTCGGAACCGAAAAAACTAGGAGCACTGACAAGGACGCAAGCGACAACTCAACGCAGTGCAACGCGCGCGAAGGGACAAAGCAACGCAACTCAATGCAATGAGAGCTAGAATGCAGACGGCCCCCGACACCGCACCCTGAGACATAAAAGATCGTTCGGAAACAATTAGTTACGTTTGTACACCTACGGGGAGGGGCCAGCCACAAGAAGGGGTCGGGCGGAGAACTCCGACAGGAATCCCGAGAAAGAGAGACGAACCATTTGTCAACGCCAGTGGGCAACCTCGTCCGAAATTCTTGCAATCACGATTCCATCTCGATAGACAGGCGTGCACCAACCACGAGCCGGTGCCCGAGCTGGACCGCAACCTCCGTCACGGGGCACGAACAATACTAAAGTTATCGCGATAACCCGTGCACGCCGCCACGCAAGAATTCTGGCCCCATGGGCCCTCAGCCTGCTTCCCAGACAGGAAGGATTGGAAGGATACTTGGAAATCGATAAAACCCAGACCAGCCCCCTTCTGGCTAGCCCACAGGTTCCGCCTTTTACTGACTCTGAAAGGTAGGAAGAGGGAGGGGACCAGCGGCGGCACGGCTCAAGTCCTGCGTCGAGCACGTGCACGGTGCGCGCTCGTCGGGTTGCCTGCGGGCTCAGACTTGGCCGACTGGCCATCGTCGAAGACCTGCACCTCGTCGCCTTTGAGCTGCGAGAGCTTCTCGATCAGGCGCTTGGCCAGCGGGGTGTGGGACGCCGCCGAGCCCTCGAGCGCATCCTTCAGCTGCTTGGCCGGCTGGCGCCAATAGCTGCGGCCTGTCTCCATCATCCCCGCGGGCAGCTGCGAACGACACCTGATGGGTGCGTGAACTTTGGTGCGTCGGCTCAGGGCTGATGGCGTCTTCCAGCGCACGCGCCTGCGGTCCTCCTCCAGTCCCCCGCCCGACGCGACGAAGTCAGCCGCCGCGGCGTGGCGGATGCCATGAGGTGGGCCCATGTGCTCTAGGCCCACCTCACCCAGCAACTTGCCCCACGAGCGCCGGCAACTGCCCTGGCTCACGGGCAGCACGAGCTCCTGGTCTGAAATGACTGACACGAGGACCTCCATGATGGCCTTGGTGTCCTTCATCTTGAGCTCGACGTCCTGGTCGGATCTGGTCTGGATTTTCTCACCGCACCCCCGCCTCCCCATGGGCAGCGCGATCCGCCCGTCCACGTCGATGTCCACGTCATTCTTACGTAGCTGGCACCATCCTGCCCCCCTCACCCATCCGTCCAGCTGCACGAGCGGGGCAGCCCCTTCAATGATCTTCCCGCGCTCGAAGAAACCCATGATGATGGCCCCCATCGCCTCCATCGGAATAGGTTCGCCTCCGCCGCCGGAGCCCATGCGATCCCACATTTTGAGTGCGCGGGCCGAGACGGGTAGGCATTTCCCGTGGACCTCGAAGACGCGCGTGAACCCTTTGAAATGATTTCGGGGATCTTCTGACCCGGGTCAATCCAGACCCGGGCCAGCAGGACACCAAAAACTGAAATGCATGAAAAAAACTGCAGCGCAGGCCTCGCCAACCCGGGTCAGCCAATGCGCGCGGCCGTCTCGCGGCCACGAGCGGCTCGCTGACCCGGGGCAGCCAGAGGGGGTCTTCGCAGGATCCTGCAGGATCCGGCGCCCTGGCTGACCCCCGTCTGCACTGACCCCCGTCTCGAGGCCCCCGATGATTGCTCGCCTTCGTGAAGCCGGCCTGCTGCACGTAGCGCATTTCGGCGATGCAGTCCGCCAGTGCCTTGCCGCGCTCCGCCACCGTCCTGAAGGGCTGCTCGGCGCGCTCCACCTCCACCAGGAACTCTGCGACGGCCCGCTCGCACTGGGCGTCAGCATTGTCATCGACCACGTGGACCACGAGTCTGTTGTTATACTTCAGCTACCTCTCAGAGGCCATCTCCCAGGCAAGCGCACCTCCTTGTTCGAGCGGGGGTGGCTCGCCCCTCTCGGCGCCCCCGCCGCCCGCTGCGTCGAGACAACAAGGGTCGCCAGGGTGGGTGTCCAGCGGCCTCTCGCCGTCGCAGCCCCAGAAGCCAATGGAGCAGGCGCCTGGGCGCGAACCTCGCACTGTGGCACGCCTTCGTTTCCAGCGCCGCCCCCAGCCCCAACTGCCGAGACGGTCCGTCGGCGACGTTGACCTCGGAAAGGGGCCCAGCGGTAGCGCGGGCGAAATCGGCGCGCCAGCTGCGCCTCTCCTGCCATCCTCGCCATGTGCAGTAGAGCCCGTGCTGAACTTCTCCCTTTCGTCACTACCCCCAGGCTCGCCAGAGAGCCCGTCACGATGGGGACTCGCGATCTCCACGCCCTCGAAGTCCGCGATAGGTGCCGCAACAGCGCCACTATCGTCCTCAGCTCGAGCACGTTGTGGCGCTCCTCCCGCTGCCAACGACCCTGGAAAAGGGACCCTGCACCTCCGTTCGTCGAGCCAGCTCTCCTGCGGTGGGAGATGTCGAGCTCGGGCCCTCACGACCCGCGGCAGCCCATGTCGTGGTCTCACCTGCGCGCTGCCCGTGACCCTCTCCCAGTAGGGCTCGCCGCTCTTCGCGACCTGGACGCAGGCCTCCCAGAAGCAGACGGGGCACGGGCAGGCGATCTTCGGCCACTTGGGGCGCCACCTGGGCCTCTGCCCCGCAGCTCGCGGCGCACCAGGCCCGCCCTCGAACGGCGCCCTCCCGCCCCCTAGGACTGGCGCTCCAGCACCTGCAGGGCCATGCAGTCGGGGATCTTCTGACCCGGGTCAATCCAGACCCGGGCCAGCAGGAAACCAAAAACTGCAATGCAGGAAGAAACTGCAACGCAGATCCTCGCAAACCCGGGTCAGCCAATACGCGCGGCCGCCTCGCGGCCACGAGCGGCTCGCTAACCCGGGTCAGCCAGAGGGGGTCTTCGCAGGACCCTGCAGGATCTGGCGCCCTGGCTGACCCCCGTTTGCATTGACCCCCGACTCAAGGCTCCCGATGCACTTGGTGACCAGGGTCGCCGGCTTCCTCCACTCCTCGCCGTACCCGCAGTAGTCCAGGCTGACCCTGCTGACCTCGGCCTGCGAGAGAAGCTCGAGCGCGGGCGGGAAGACCCGCATC